ATATAAATTTATAATAAAAAATATATTTATTACACCTTAACTTATAATTTTTAAATTATATGTTAAAAAACCTTAATTAATTTACACAAACATAAATTTTAAAACAAGTCAAACTCACAAGGCCTACGCAATTAAAGCAACAGTTTAAACAAAACTAATTTCAGCAATTGCAAGCTTGAAAGCAATAATAAATTAATTCAGTAACAGCACAAGCAATACCTCCCTTGTCCCAACATTAAGAATTTAAGACAAGCAATCCTTTCTTGCCTGGTTCATCCAAAAATTTGGCAACGTATTATTGGCGCATGTCAGTTAGTCCTCGCCAGTATGATGGGGTAATAAAAAGGATCGGATGACATCAAAACAATAGCGCTTTTACTTTTAACAGCAGCATTCGAGCCTCTTAATTCAACAACACAAAACGTTATCAACAATTTTTTAATGTTCAATCCATTATGTAGTGGCAACTTAACAAAATGACAACATGTGTCTTCCAATTAAATCCTAATGCAAGCCTGAAGATGCTTAAGTCTCCTGACTTGATAATTTAATATGTCCAAGGTCTCTCTAATTTAAGCAGGAAAACATTAGATGAGTGCAAAAAGCGAGGGAGCATAAAAGTTTAAATAAGTAACTATAAATCCATATCTTGAAAACACCTTTGATGAGCTAATTGTTGATATGAAGGATTGAAGAAACATTGTAATTGTATGGCATCAAGATGGAATCACTATAAAGAAAAACATGCAAATTATGAAGAGAAAAGAAACAAGAACAACAATGTACCATATCAAAATTCAAATTGCTACTCTTACTCGCAAATATTCCATTCTTATCTAATGTTTGCATGGAGATTTAACAGCTACCTTGCTGAAAAGTTGTTTTGTGTGTATAGAGTAACAGGGATCAAAACCTCCAAGGATTCTTATGAAGCTCATCCTTCTTAATCCATAATAACATTTTACCACCAAAATGGAACTATATAGTTAGGGAAAATGATTGGTATACCTTCTAATTCAATACACTTAGTAACACCCTCCGGTTCAGTGATTAAAATTTATCTTTAAAAGTTTTCCCGTCTTAAATTCAAATTTAAAAATATTAAATTATTATAAAAATAACTAACAAATTAAGTGCAAATACATTACAACAATACACCAAAATAGATTCCCTTGCAAGAAATTGCACATCAAAAACAAGATATTTAAACTTTTAATAGTTCAAAAAAAGAGAAAGTTCTTCTTATGGGCCTTGGGTTTTGATTGTTCTTCCAATTGTTCTTCCTATGAAAATATATGTAAACATCATCAAATAAGATTATGAAGAGAAATCATATTTGGAATTGAATCTATTAAATCTATTAAATCCCAAATGTAATTGCTTGCCACTGAGTGCTTTTTTCATCATTTTAATGTTGTCTTTGATTTCTCTTGATTTTTTGCTTGGTAAATTTGACCACAGATTTTCATATGAAAACTGGTAAATAAAATTTATAATGGGAGTAGTACAGAGTCTTAACTCCTCATACTTAACTTACTACACACATATAAAGAATTCATTTAGAAGAAAATTAATTTACAAACTAAATTAATTCTTGTTGGATAAGAAACACAAATTATGTAAAAAATCCTTATCCTGATATTAAACATAATCTTAAACCAACTACTAATTCCCAATATGTATTCCTAGCAATAAAACCAACTACAACTCACACAGGCCACATGTGGAACAATTGGTGTGCATGAGAAAGGGGCCACTTGCATTCCTCTGAATGAGAATACCCTCCGCTTGGACATCAGTGATCCAAATGGAGATGGATGCTTGCTTCAGAACCCACTCCTCCGAAACAACTGAGATTGCTGACGCCAGTGGGATTCAGTGGGATTCTTCAACTTGGATTTGATAGCAGAAGAATAGTAGAGGCATCCCTTGTGTAAATTTCCTCTTCTCCATCCTTTTGGTTTGGTATGAGCCTTAAATTAGAGTCACAAACCGTGGAATCAAGCGCAAATCTTCATCGCCCATGGCAGAAACTACGTTATGTAAATAAAAAAAAAAAGATGAAAACAATTGAGAACCAACCCAGCAAATTCTAAATGGAAATAGCAACTCATTATCTGTTATTTTCAGAAAGCAAACCCAACAAATCAGGGGCACAAACCTAAGTAGGAAATCGTTCGCGGAAGTAGAAATTGATCGAGCCATCGTGGGGTGGTTTCTTGCAGTTTTTTTATAGCATAAGAACATAGAACAACAAAAGCATATACCATCAAAACGTCTTTGATGTTTGCTGTTTTGGGCCACCTAAGCCCATTAAGGCTACATTGGAAGCGCTATTAACGATAAAGATTGATGTTTAATAGCCTTTAAAACTAGAATAATGCTTCCGTCTCTCGTAGAAGGCCCAATATATAGGGCCTTCTCACAAAGCTTTGGGTGACACCTTGGTATACACTAATCAATACAACAAACAGTTACAATCCTCTTCTTCTCAATTTTTGGGTTTTTGTTTTAGAATTTTGATGATTGCAACCTTAAAATTCTCGTGTTGGGCTTCGTACCAGTTCTGTGAAGCCACCTGCATTATATATTGAAAATCGATTATCCTTTAAATAGCTTCCTAGAAATTCCTTGGCCTTGCCCATAATTTCAATTTCTTTTATTTTCTACATCTTTGGCTTTGCTCACATACAACAAAAACAGCCTATACCATTGGTCTCTGCCTCTTAGGGGGTGGCTTATCCCTTTATCAGTCACTCTTCCTTTGCCAACCTCCTTATCCC